GCCATTTTATCGGACCCCTGGCTGGGCAGGGAGGGAGCCCCAGTCGCCCTCTCTGATGGACGCGGCTGCAGCGCCAGACTGGCCCGGCCCGGCTGCTGTCACCAGCCGTCTGCACTCTGTCATCCTTCCGGCAACCCGTTTGTGGAGCAGAAGTCACAGCTCCGCCATCACCCGATGACCATGGACCTGTCCAAGCACACGCCCAAAGCTCTCTTCCTCTCCCTCCAGTATCTCTAAGGCGGGCAGGATGAAAGAAAGAAGGAAAGGAGCAGGAAGAGGGAGGGGGGCCGCGGGAGGCCTGCCAGGCTCACCAGCTTGGAAAGAGAGTTATGTGGACAAGCGAAAGGTCATAAGTCATGAGTGGAGTCAAGAGGACATTGCCAGGCGCCGTGGGCGAAGACGGGGACCAGACACCGGCGGCTGGAAAATGCCAACTGTGCTAACGGTGCAACAGCTGTCCCAGGAAGCTCTCCCCGCTATTGTGAATGTAGCCATATGCCTGAGGCAGAGGGAGATGCCCGTGGCCCATTGGGCACAGCCTGGCCACAGCCTGCCAATGGGAGGGTACTATGATGGGCACACTCCCCCAGGCCTAGCTCTGGCACGGTGGGTGGCACCAAGGAGCTCAGAATGCCCCCCTGACCCTGTTCAGAGGGAAGGGGGTTTCTCCAGGCCCAAGGACTTGTTGTGTACCATATGGATCTTGGCATATTCACCCCAAGAGGAGGACCCATATAAACAGCGCTGCTTGCTCTCTTTCTTCCTCAAGTTATTTTCTATTAACAGAGGAAGCTTGAAAGGAAATGTTAAAAAAGGACGTTTCAATCCCCCATCAACTCAAGTCAAAGTCTTTTTGATTTTATGATTCAAGGCAATGGGACTGTCCACAGCTGGGAGGCTGAGGACTGCAGACATAAAGAACATTAGAACATTCACGCTGCCGTCAGGAGGCCCTGGGTAGGTCGGTGAACCTCTCTGAACCTTGATGTCCTCATCTGTACAATGGGACTTATCGACAGGGTTGTTGTGAAAACTGAACACGGTAGTGACTTTGAACAGCGCAGTGCCTGGTCCACAGGAGCGCTCAGTACACGGTGAGGGATTCAGAGAGATTCACAGGACTCCCGGGGACTCAGCCAGGCGGGCACGTGGCTGCGCGGTCACCTGAGAGGAGATAGTCAGTCACACATCCCCGGGGGAGCCCAGAGCCCGCTCCTGGGTCTAGAACAGGGTTCGGTTCCCACCATGGCTCTCTCTCCTGGGAGAGGGCACAGGCTCCATGACATGCACCATCAACACAATCCTCTGGTTACACTGGGTCCAGGATTTACCAAGAAACAAGCCGAATGGGAGGGGCCAAGACCCCTCTCCTCATTGTCAGACAGCAGGTGTCTGCACAGGCGTGTGGCACTGAACTAAGGCCATGGAAAGAACCTTCAGCCTCCATGTTAACTGCGCTTGAAGGCCAAGGGAACAGACTTCAGTCTGCCCGGGCCCAGGGCCCAAGTGCTCCTAAGGAGTAGGGGTCAGGTTCAGAGGAGTCTCTCAGGTTCCATCAAAGTCTTGGACTCACGCCCATGGCCCCATTCCCCTGCTCACATCCCTTCCCATAAAGATGGCGGGTGGGGGCGGGCCTAAGCACTGTGACCTTTGGGTTCACTACACTTGGGAAAATGACCTTGGGCTGGGCTTCTTCCCTGAAACAGTGGGGCATAGGCCTCGGGTGTACCCGCTCCCTCTGCGTGGAAGATACGACCGATGGTTTCTGAGCTTGGACCTGTCTCCTCTACCCGGCTGGCATCCAGACTAGATTTGGGGAGCGGCGGCTCCATTTGGGCGGGATGTGGATACACATCTTAGCCTGGCCTCAGGGTGCCTCTCCGCCCCTTTCCGCCCGTATCTCTCCCTGGAGGGGAGGCACTCAGCGGTGTGGAGACTCCCCCCTGCCCGAGGCTGCCCCGAGGGTCTGGCGGGTGCGGCTGCGGTGTCCGGAGCAGAGAGGTGTCCAGCGGTGCGGCGGCGGGCCATGCTGCAGGAGAGCGCGGGGCCTTCCGCGGTGCTTGACAGAACCATGTTCCGTTTCCATCGTTCCACCACATGGTTAGATCAAGCACAAAGGAAAGCCCCGCGGACCGGGCAGTCAGGTCAGGAAGCAGCGTCAGAGAGAGGACAGCTCAGTGGAAGCAGCGTGGAGAGGCGGGAGCCGGAGGAGGCCCCACGGAGCGTGATTAGTACCAGGAGTGGGGGCCACGGGAGCACTTCCGAAGACAGGAGACCCCCCGCCCCGAGCCCACCCCAGGAGAGACACTGGAGGGGGGGAAGGGAGGGGGGAGACCCAACACCTCCACTCAGGATGTCGGGGCAGAACGCACCCTTCCCCAGAGAATGAAAGCAGCAGGTGTCCGTCACGTCACAGCCTGAACTGAGCCTCTGCACCCCACGCGGTCACCCCTCTGATCCCAGACGACGCCAAACTCGGCGGAAGGGCCTGCTCTGTGCTCAGTCCCGAGGCACCCCCAGCAGAGCCTCCCCAACAGCCCGCCCAACCCCTTGCTAGAGACGCGCCACCATTCCCGGGGGCCTGGCAAAGCTGCCACGATCTCTAGGAAAAGCCCTCCGATGCGCCACAATTCAGGAGTCGCCTCAGTGTCCTTCAGGGTCCCCAGAAACCCCCTGGCTGACGGATGTCCCTCCCAGATTGCCCGAGATACAACGGGGGGTGGGGGGTGGTGGGGTGAGTCCGAGGGAAAACACACATTTCTAGCAAGGGAGGCAGAAGGAGGAGCCAATGGGGCCCCGGCACTGGGACGGAGACCCGCAGTCACAGGGCTCTGAGGACAGGGATTTCAGAGGAGGTGCCGGTGCTCCGAGGAGGGGTCTCTCTCAGACTAAGAGGAGGAAGGAGGGGAGGACACCAGTTCCTGATTTCTTCCATGTGAATCACGGGGTGGGGGTGGGGAGGCAACAACCAAGTATTTCGCATGCCAAGGCCCAGGTGAGGATGCTGGACTTTATGTCCCCGGGATCCTACAAGAGATGGGGGCAGCTTTCATGCACCTGCTGGCTCAGGACTCCCCCACCCCCACCCTCCAGCCACTGGGAGGAGACGTGTGTATCTGGAAGAGACCTGACCCAAGGCCAGGTGACCGCCACCCCCCCTGCCCTGCCGTGTTGGAGGGACGGGGTCACTGTCCTTCCACAGTGTGCTTTTGGGACGAGACCGTCTCAGCATCTGGACGTGCACAGGTGTCTGCAGTGGGTGGCCAGGCAGCCAAGGGCACCGCGCAGCTCTGGGTCTGGCCCCTGGTCTTCCCAAGCCCTCCCCTCTGACCGACCAGAGTTGGCCACTGTCATTCAGACCCAACCCCGCTTGGACCCCAGACAGGCAGGGCTCTGTAAGTGCTCTGGTTTGGGGATCTGGCGCTCAGGCGTGATAGGCCCTGGGGGCCACAGCAGGGACACAGCCCGCTCCTGCCCCAGCTCCCAGCCTGAACACCAACGAGGCTTTCCTGCTCTCTGGTCTCCTCAATGACAGCCAGGGGAGGGGCCAGGGCGAAAGCGATGGAGTCTCCACAGCCCGTCAGAGCTGGGCGTCAGAGCTTGTCCCTTCTCCCGTGCGGCTCCGTCTCTCCCTCTCTGGCAGGGCCTGGTGAGCCGGGGGCTCTAAAGCTCTAATTCCCTGAGTGCCACGCTGTCGGCCACCTTTGCACATCTGGTGTCTCCACCTCTGGACTTTTCGCCAGGAGAGTTGCCTCTTGCTGCCGGGTGCCCACACACACAGTGGCAGGGGTGGGGCGGCGGGGGGGAGAAGGAGGGAAGACAGCATCTTCCAACTGCCCGTGCTCCCTGGGGTGGGCTCGGGGTCCCCACAGCCAGACAGCGCCCTTCCGGGAGGACGTACTCAGGCGGTCAGATCACCCCAGCTGGCAGTCTCTGCCTCTAGCCTGACCTGCTGCCCAGGGAGGTGGGCGCAGCTGATGGAGCAGACGCAGGGCTGCTGGAAGCCCAGGCCCACCATGAGGGGCTTTATGTGCTGCAGGAGCCGCCCTCAAATTGGCTCCTAATTACATCAGCTGCCTCTGCAGTGGGGCGCTTTTAGGGGGAAGTAAAACGCAGAGTTATTATCTGTCAAATCCACTACGTGTCACCTGCCCCTCCTCCTTTCTTCCTGGAAACAGCGCTAGGGCCCTGGCTCTGCTGCCCAGCATCTCCCGGAGCCCAGGCCTCTGGGGCTCAGCAGCTCTCCCTCTCCCTCCTCTGCAGCTCAGAAAACAGAAGCATGCAGCATGCTCTTGCTTTCTCTGCCTTCAGAGCAATAATAGAGGGAGGGATGTCCATCATGTCTGCTTAGTATGGATTAAAACAAGATATTAAGAGAGGGTCAGGCCAGGGGCCGCCCTTTGTCCTTGTCTGTTGCACGTGTATTTCCCACCATTCCTTCCCCACACAGACAAGCAGCGATCCTGTCGTGCAGAGGCAGGTAGGCTGGGGCGAAGCTAGAGTCAGAGCCAGGCTCCACCGCCCTGTGTCCTGGGTCTACTTGCTACTTTCTCTTTCTCCTACTTGCCCCTCCCCCCCATCCCAGCCTATAGTCACGCCTGTGTCCCTGGGGGATGCCAGTCTCAGACCCTGCCCCCCAGAACCCGGGCATCGATCTGGAGCCCGACACCAAACAGGACCCCGTGAGAGAGACTGGGGGTCGGTTGGCACCTGCCTTCCTCTCCCTCTGATTGCCCCTCTTCTTGAGCACAGCTGCCTGTCAGAGCGAATGAACACGGCCGTGGCCAGACAGGCTGGGGACGGAGGGGACGGTGTCAGTCAGGAGGAGAGGCCCCCAGGAGGATGGTTGAGCCTCAGGGGCAGCCCTGGGGGGAGGAACTTCAGACAGGGTTCAGGGGTGGGGTGGAGGGAGAAGCCATGAGACTGGGAAAGACAGTCATTCAAGCAGCTGGTCCTCCTTCCCAAATGCTCTTCTCTCCCAGATGCAGCGAGGAGCAAGCTAGACCGGGGTCCGGCCCCGCCTCCACCATGGCTGGCTGTGACCTCGGGGTGCCTGTCACCTCTGAGCCCTGGGCTCCCTCTGCTGCAGGGCGGGGCCCGTCCTGCTGGCCACACAGGACTCTGGGAAGAACCAAGCAGAGCAGGCGGCACAGTGCTCACCAGGGCGAGAAACTGCTCCCCAAGCAGACGTGCTGCTCTGAGGAGACCACCGGGAGCAGCGCCTCCTAGTGCCCAGACCCCCTGTGACCCCCAAGCCTCTCCAGGTGTTTGCTGCTGTTGAAAAAATAAAAATAAAACAGCTGAAGTCATGCACGTGCTGGCTTTTCTGGAGACGTGGACTCAGGGGTCTGACTTGGAGGACAGGAAGGGCTTGCCGGCAGCAGAGGCCTGCCCTGGGGCCCTCTCCAGGCCGCCCAGCTGGCACTGCCCGGGAAAATGCGCTTCCGCACGGCGCTCTGGGGCGGGGAGAGGCGAGGTTCTTGCTGACACGCGGATTGTGAGGCTGGTGCAGCATCTCAGCACGTCCTATCAATCTCTTACCGCTGGGAACGCAATGCGGCTTGGTGATTTTTTTCCAGGAGCAAATGACACAAATGACAGTCATCTTTAACTGCCCATTCCCCTAACTACTGGGTCAAGGAGAGCGACCTCCCTTTCCAGGAAGAGCTGAGAGCCCCTGCCATTCAGCCGGTGTCTCTCCCGGGGCAGTGGGGAGCGAGGTGGCAGAGGGAGCCTGGGGACCAGAGGGCAAGGCTTGCTTTTCTCTGGCGATCAGAGTTACCAGTCTGGCGGGGGGAGCTGGCAAAAATGTCTGTGAAAACTGTAATCCACTGTGGTTGAAGGGCTGCACCAGGTGGTCTTAGAGGGGAGCAAGAGGCCCCCAAGATTGTATGCTGCCTGCAGCCTGGCCTGTGGAATACCTCTCTACCTGCCACTTGGGGAGCACGCTTTAGACACAAGGAAAAAAATGCGTAAAAAGCACGCCCCAATCTCTAGCTTCCACCTAGCCCCGGAGATACGCTGCTGCCTGGGCTCCGTCTCTCCTGAAACCACGCATCCCCCTGCCACCCCCCTCCCCGCCCCATGATTTTACTGTGTGTGTGTGTGTTTTATTTTAAATCCATAAGGTAATTGGTTTTCTGCAGGACTAACTGAATTTCCCCAATTTAATTTGCAAAGCTGCTCCCAGGAGCCACTGCAGCTCGCTGTCCTCCAGATCGGATTACGGGCCTCCAGGGACACCGAGGGGAGGTGGGCCGGCCCTAACCTGATTACCTGAGCAGCGGAACTTCTTGCTCTTGACCTGGCTGATGCGCTTGTTGGCCAGGCGCCTGGGGCTGCTGCAGCGCGCCCCGCTGGTCTCGATGGGGTTGTCCTGGAGGTAGTCCGCCAGCCACTTCAGATGGCAGTCGCACACAAACGGGTTTTGGGCTAAATGGCTGGGAGGGGGAGGGGCGCTCATCAGGAGTGACCTGTGGTGCCCACACCACCCCCTCCCGCCTGGTGCTGGGCCCTGGCCATCCAGTGTCTGGATCCCTCCCTCATCACCCCAGGAGGCCTGGGGGGACACGGGCTGCTTCCAGAGGGGACCAGAGAGGGGCTGGGGACTCGGCCTCGCCCACTCTGGGCAAGACCTGCCACGGATCCCCCCCTCCCCCCCGCCCCAACCCTCACCCACGCCAATCCTGATGGGCAAAGCAAGCTGCAGGCCTAGGGTGTGTGCGTAGAGAAGACTGTGTTTCACGTCTCTGAGCTCTGCCACACAGGCGCATAAGGCAGCTGGCAGGGCGACGGGCACATGGGGGTGTTCTATAAAAAGCAGCGGCACGGCTGCTGTCATCGCGCCGTCGTGAGCGGCACAGTGGCCTCACTCTCCTTGGCTCAGTAAGAAGACCCTGCAGAGCTGCACACGGTGCCTGGCACGTGGTAGGGGGCCAATAGGTAGCAGCTGTTCCTGCTCTTTATTGGTTCCTGTCTCTTGCTACGGGCCAAGAGCCAGATGACTCAGACGCCCCAGGCTCACGGCCAGGCCACCGGCTGGGGTGAGGGTCTCAGCGTGGGGCTGGAGCATCAGAAACATGGCCTGAGACCTGACCTGTGCTAGATGGTCAGCGATCTCACGGACCTATCTGTGAATGTGTGCAGTGCTTGGGAGTGAGGAACTGCTCCCAAGGCGGGAGGTGAAATACTCCCAGGGTGCCCGTATCAGAAGGTAGCCGGGGTGGGGGTGGGGCTCGGTAGTGGTGGGTTATCCTCAGAGAATATACTGGCTGCAGTGAATAAGAGAGCAGTTGAGGGGCAACTCTGCCTGGATTCAAATCTGGATTCTCACTAGCTGTGCAACCTTGAGTAAGTTACCTAACCTCTCTGAGCCTCGGTTTCCTCTCACAGAATCGGGGGATCATAATAGCACCTACCGCAAAGGGTTGCTATGAGGCTTAGAGGTTTGTATCCAGGGGAAGAACCAAGTGTGGCGCCCTGCATGGTGTGAGCTCAGAACAGGGGAGCTGTACCGGTTGGTGCCCACTCTGCCCTCAAGCGGGGGTCCCCATGGCCATGTGCGGTCCCTGCGGCCTGGGCGTACTCACAGCGTCTGGATGGCCTGCAGAGGGGCGAAGAGCCCCTTGCTGATGGTCTGCAGCTTGTTGTCATAGAGGGAGAGGAGGTTGAGGTTCTGCAGGTCCTGGAACGTGTTCACCCGCAGGCAGTTGATCTTGTTGGCATTGAGGAGGCTGCAAGCACAGGAGAGGCAGGTGACTCGCTGACCCTGGGCGTCAGCCGTGGGCCCAGGGCTGATGCAGGGACTGGGCTGCAGAGCTCCCTCGCTCTCCTCGCAGCCGGGCTCCTGCTGCTGAGCAGAGAGAGAGGGTCTCGCCTTCCTGTGGCCACAGACACTTAGAAGATGCCTGGGCATGGCAGTGGGCATGCCGAGGCACCATGGCCGCTGTCCCACCCTCTGCCATCATCTGGAGCCTCCCCTCGAGCCCGTGCCCGGGAGGAAGGCTGGAGATGGTGCCCACGTGCGTGGCTTTCTGCTCTAGAATGCAGAGGTTCCAGGACTAAAAAAAAAAAATCATATGCACAACTGTTTCCAAGCTGTAGTTGACGGGCTAAAGGCCATTCTGATGCAGAAAAGTCCTTGGTTCTTTGGGATCACTTATTCCACTGGAAATCTGATGAAGCTATAAAGCAGTGCTTCTCAACCTTCCGGCCCTTTCAATACAGTTCCTCGTGTTGTGACTCAACCATAAAATTATTTTCGTTGCTACTGCATAACTGTAATGTTGCTACTGTTATGAATCGTCATGTAAATATCTGATATGCAGGATGGTTTTAGGCGACCCCTGTGAAAGGGTCGTTCGACCCCCAAAGGGGATCACGACCCACAGGTTGAGAACCGCTGCTCTAATGTATTTAATACAAACCACACACACACACACACACACACACACACACACACACTCAAGTTCAAGACATTTTTCCGATGGTCTTAGGCGACTCCTGTGAACGGGTCGTTCGACCGCCAAATGGCTCGCGACCCACAGGTTGAGAACCGCTGCTATAGAGCATCCTCCCAGAAAGCACACATCTATGGGTGGGCTTGTATTGCACTGTTTTCTCTCTCTCTCTCTCTCTCTCTCTCTCTCTCTCTCTCTCTCTCTCCCCCCCCCCCCCATAGAAACATGCCTTTTAGGTGGAACTCAGTCCATCCACCACAGGCGATGCTGTGAGGGGTCAGGGAGTTTTCCAGATGCAGCTGGAAAGTCAAGCAAATTCGGGTCCCCTTAGGACCCACACTCCCCAGACTGACTGGTGGTGCCCTTGCCACTGGCTTAAAGTAACCTCCCAGTCCCTCTGAAAGGGAAGCAGGGGAGGGGGAACCAAACTAACCAGCTGAACGTGGAAGTTTCAAAATTCCTATTTTCAGGGCTGGCCCAGAGCTTCCCTCGTGGGGAGCAACCCACGAGGCTCATGACAGACTGTCTTGTCTCCGGAGGCCCTTGATGCCAGGGTCCCCGGGGCTTCCGCTGGCAGAGGTGGGGCTGCCTTGGCGGCGGAATCATCTGTGCCACCTGTTCCTGCTGCAGCCGGTGTGCGGGCAACTGCGGCCGTGACAAGTGGAGGAACTGCCTGTGTAATCTGGCAAATAATGGGCAGGGTCCCCAGGGCTCGCCCAGATGTCCTCCTGCCTCACGCTGGAAAGGAGCTCGTGTTGCTGGAACACGTCTCGTGTTTGCCAAAGTGCCTCGTATTCTCACAGTAACCTGGGCAGATGGGCAGAGCGCGCCTCTCAAGTCACAGGCGGGGAAACCGCGGCTGAGTGGGGAGGGGCCTGCCTGAGGTCACACGCTGGGAGTCGTTATGATCACTGGGGCTGCAGAGGGACCGTGTCTTCTGTATGAAGGCCTCACCTCCTGCCCACGTCTAACCCCTTTGTAGCCCCCTCGCCCTAGAATTTCCTGTGCTTTATAGATCACATTATAGTCGAGGCTCCTCCATGTGGGGCATTCTGAGAAGGATGCCAGGGAGCAGAGAAACAGGGAGCAAAGCTAGAGAGCCCGCAGGGCCAAGCAGCCAAGAGTCAGGGACAAATGGACCCTACATACACACACACACACACACACATACACACACACACACACACACTTTTTGATTGGTTTGTTTAAAACAAGAAGTATGTGGTAAATGACTCGTTCCAAACTTTGATATTCAGGGCCTCCCGAGGGCACTGTCTGGGCTGGCGAATAGTGAACCATTTAGCGAAGAGGCCCACTCTGAGGTGCCGTCCGATGGCCCAAGGATAGGATCCTCCCTGCAATACAGTGCACCATCCCACATGTAAATATGTTCATTCAGTCCTCCCAGTGTTTAACCCCCCCTCTCTCCCCCCTTGTCTCTCTCTCCCTCCCTCCCTCTCCCTCCCTCCCTGAAATCAATCAAAATAACATCTGCCGCTTAAGGTGACGGGCCCTCCCCACGCCACATTTTGAAAAAAAATTCAGAATCTGGGTCCCCTGGAGGCAGCTATGGAGTGGCTGCCCCTTTCGATAGAACATATGCCCTGTTTGCCACAGTCCTCACTTCTCCCTATTGTCTTCCCTTCACTATTCCATCTACCTTGCCTGCCTGTGTAGGCATTTAGATTTGAGACGCTAGTGCAGATGCATAAGCCCAATTGCAGGGCTTGGTTCTGGGGAGTGCAGGACGCTGGTCAAGGCAACCGTGACCTGCCTTGAAAGAATCCAAACTGCATCCACTCTGGCACCCTCTGCTCCCCTCAGAATTCCTGGGGCTTCTTTTTCAGACCCAGATGCTTTCTCATTCCCTGCTGCTTCCAGATCTCTCGGCATGGGGTGCTATCTCGAGGATGTGAGGTGTCTCACCACCCAGGCTGGCAGAATGACTCGCCGACAGCACGGCGGGTGGCCTGCGTGGAGCAGGAGCTCAGGGAAACACGAAGGGCGCTGGCTTGGTCCCCTTTGCTCTCCCAGGATGCCTGGCTCCTCAGGCACGACTCGGGGGTGCAGGGAGAGGCAACATTAAGCTGTGTATCCAGATCGAGGTGCCGGCGGCCTCACTGATCCCAGCCCGGGGGAGGCCTGACAGCAGGTCCCTCCTCTCTCCTCGGGAGGAAGGCTGGCAGCCACTCCTCCCCTCTGCTCCATGCATGGAACACGGACAAGTCGGGGGGCATTTAAGAAATACCCAGTCATGGAGCAAATAGAGAGCACACAGCTATTGGAAAGGGCATTCAGCAGCTTGACAAGAAGGCCTGAGCACAGGCCTTCTCCCTCCTCACTGCAGGGACTGACGCACCCTCTTTCTTGATCTGCCCTGGTTCTCGCCCCTGAGACATGATGACAATCATGAGTCATCTCGGGAGACCACGGTCTGTGTGCAGCCCCGTGCCACGCACTCTCCATAGTCCTTTCTGTGCCATATTTCCTCTCACCCGCATTTTGCCGATGAGGAAACCGAGGGTCAGGGTGGGCCCCCCAGGTGTAAATGAAGCTCCAGCCACTCGACTCCACAGCTCATCTCTGACCCACTACGTACAATCCATATTCTCTCCTCCTGGCCGATGGAAGGGGTTCCCGTCCCTGGGGAGGGGCGCTTTTGCCTGGCTCTGGAATGCACTGGGTGCGCCTCAGGTGGACGGGGTCTGGTTGGGTCTGAAAGATACTGCTGGCCTCTGGGTTGTGTAGAGGCACCTTAGGAAGGGCTTGGCACCAAGTTGGCAGACGGGCTGCTCAGCACACGGCCATGGGCACAGAGGGGCCGGTCTTCACTGATGGTTCGCTCCTGCACCATGCAGGGCTGCAGCCTTTAGGGACCACTGGCTACATGCTGATTTGGGGGGTGGGTGTGCTCGTCTGTGCTCCCCTCTCCTGAGCTCTCAGTCTCCTCTGGGCAGGCCAGGGGACAACGATGAAGCAGAGACGACGGCCTCCCTCATGGAAGAAGGGGCGCTCCAGCTTGCCATGGTCAAGAGGCTGCTGGTATGCGAGCTCAGAACTTGGACGCCCCAACTGGCTCCCAGCTTGATGGACTTACAGTTGGAACCAGAGAGTCAGGGGGCTGGGGGCATGTCATGTTCATAACTATTTCCCCAGAAGCAGATCCAACCATGCTGTGGGAACACCTGCTCCCAGACCCAGCACCCAAGGGAACCTCATGGTCATATAAACAAAAGGGAGGGCATGCTGCAAGGATCAGGCCAGGTGAACATCTGTGGTCACAGGACCTAACAGGTGATATGCCAGGTCATAGCTAACAGGTAATAAGTTCTATGTGTGGCCAGGCACTCGCCACGTGCCTGTCCAATATTAACTTCCGGAAGCTCCCCACAGCCCTACGAAGTAAGTGTTCTCTCCACCTGACAGAGGGCACCCCTGGGACTCAGAGAGCACAAGTGCCTTTGCCCAAAATTGCACAATTAGCAACTGGTAGATTGAGAGCTCGATCCATGTCACCTAAGCCCACAGACTTTACTCCTGGCCACCGTGCCCCCGACGCTCAGCCCTCTCCCACTAAGGGACCGGGAATCCCAGAGGGCGTCTGGGAGGTGTGGGCCTCATCCTCCCAGCCACTCCTAGCCACTTAGTAATGAGTCCATCACAGAGCCAAACCAAAAGAGCTGGGCTTCACAGAGGAGATGAAGGCGAAGGGCGCCACCTCCTAAATTCACTTCCCAGGGTAGCTCTGCCGGCACCCACCGACCCTTCTTGGAGCACTTTCGGCGTCCACATATGTTCCGTGTCAAGAGGGATTAGCGCTCAGCCCATCGACTAACCAACACAACACGCTGCAAAGAGATAATCCTTTCCAGGAGCTGCGCCTGCAGGCAAAGCCAGGCAGGAACCAGGAGCCACTGGGGACCAGGGCTTGGAGCTGGGGGGCGTGGACCAGCCCATCCTGCTGAGGAGGGCTCCAGCCTCCTGAGCCTCCCGGCCTCCTGTCCTCCTCCTGCGGGGGGATGGGCCTGGCTGGGCAGGAAAGCTCCCAGGAGCTCATCACTCCGCAGCTTGCACTTCACTCGCTCAGGTCCAGGCAATACGGGGAGATGGACCACAGGAGGGGAGTGAGGTCCACCCTGATCAGCGAGAAGCACCCACCACACCCAGTCTCCCAAAGAGGCCACAGGTGATATGCCAGGTCATAGCGACTACCCTGGGCCGGATCTTTTCATTGCTGATCCCCCTGGGCCCCACAGCCTTGGCTGCTAGGCTGG